AAATTTGAAGCCAAACCACTTCCACAAAGGATAGAGGCTTGAGGAGTGACCATGAAGAAGTGGATAGCTTGCGCTGCACTTTGCTCATATACGATAAAAGCAAGCACAAAGCTGATTCGAACATCTGGAATGTTTTCTGCATGCCTTCGGAGACAGCATTCAGTTTGAGCTACCATGACATTATGTGAGTAGAAAAGGAATCTCTGCTAAGAAGATGTTTAGCTAACATCATCACAATAAAACCTACATCTGAAATGTTTCTCACATGCCAATGTGATGAAAGTGCATGATAAGGATGCCGCAAGCCAAAGGCATATAAAATATTAGGTTGTCCCAAAAGTAAAAACGTATTTCTGACTAAATCAGACTGTTTTTGTTTTCATGGCAGACTGGAATCATTCGATAGAGCGAAGCAAGCTCTAGAAAAATGACCACCAAAGAACCGTCTAAGTCGCGATCCAGATAAAATTTGGAGCCAAAAATCAAAATTTGTCAGCTACCCTAAAAATCGGATTTCCTTCCAAAATATTACAGACTTCCAACTTGGCCCTTACATAGTAGACACAAAGTAGTACCGAAAAATGTCTTTGGTTGATTTTTTCCGGAGTTCAAAATTGAGAAACAAAAATGGTCCCAAAATAAAAAAAATGCCACTTTTTTCGGGATTTTTCATGTAAAACTTGGTATTTCTCGATTATAAGAGTACTAACAGGGGCGAAGTTTCGAGATTATGAGTAAGGCTTGTAGTACACGATGACAAATGTGGGAGAGGGTGGGGGCGGAGTTTGCCATCTTCACACTATCTCCATTTTCTCGCTTTTTGAGCTCGCAAAAAATTCACTAAAGGATTTGAGTACTACTATGTGTCTGCTGCATAATGACCAAGTTTGAGTTCCGTACGATTATTCTTCGCAAAAATCCAGTTTTCAGGTAATAAATTTTTTTTCGATTTTTGCTCCAAACTTTATCTAGATTGCAACGTAGACAGATCTTTTGCAGTCGTTTTGTAGAGCTTGCTTCGCTCTATCAAAAGGTACCCCAAGTCTGCCAGGAAAACAAGAACAGTTATAAATACGGTTTACTTTTGGGACAACCTAATAGCATTAGACACATCATGAGTGAGACTTCTGACAGTTGCAAACGTCCACGCGATGTTTTAGAGTAACAGATCGCTTTCTGGAAGCAAAGAGCAAGAAGCGGTTTTGGAGAGCTAAACTGCAAAAAATTTTACTAGAAGCTAAAGGAGGACAAATCTCTGGAGATCTGCTTGGGTACTTATCAAAATTCTGAGCTTCAAGCATATCTTTGTTAACAATAAACATGACTGCTAAATAATCAAAATTTGGTTAAGCACGCACTGGAGGTTGAACTAGTCCTGAAAAATTGTTGAGACATAAGAAGACAAGCTGGTCGTGTTTACCGGGGCCTGGGGTGTCCGAATGGATTTCGTAATGCCACGTGATGATGAGCGAGCGTGGCGGATCGCGGGTCCTGGCACGAATCGGTTCTACACAAATAAAAAAATTAACCAAGACCATCGTAACCAACCTTTTCGCGCATTTTCAAAACCACCACTGAGCACGAGGGCATCATAAGGCAAAGTGGATTGAATGGGGCTGATAACACCAATAATTTTGTTGAACCATCTTCATGAATGCATATGTTGTGACACACAAAAATCTATTTTGTATAAAAAACTGGGCTAATCTCACTAATGTAAGAAAACTGCGTGCTTTCAGCGGCTGGCTACCGTAGGCAGTCGTTTTCTACGCTAATGCGTCGAAACCGGATTGGTCAATATCAGGCAAGCGCACGGATAAATAGTAACAGAGCTTGCAAAAATGGGGATCTAATGTTACGCAAATGTTCTCCACATCCGTTCATGTCACGCATGTTGCGAACTGATAATGCAAAAATTTAGAGGTTGATCTCTATCTCTTCAAAAGTTTTGATATCATTGCTTGGCTTAAAATTAGACGGAGAAGTTCGACTACGTTGTGCATGGACTTTTTTTGGCTCAAATTTAACTTTCGTTTCAACTTTTTATCGCATATCCCTTCCCTCCTGTACTATACCATTCGCGCTGCGTTTTCGCAAATCAGTGCTTTAAAACTTTTCCAAAAAATGCATCTTGGAAAACCCCAGCTACTTCTCATTGTAATTAGCTACATCCACTAGAAACCGACTTATGGCCACCAAAACCACCCAAATTATCTAGGCAATAAAAATCACCTAAAATTACATAGTGTTCCGTAAAAAAAGAGCACTGTTAGACATAATCGTATTTATTCATGCTGATAACTCTTCATTTACAAGTTGGTAGGTGTGACAGTATGGCAATCAAGTAATGAACAGAGTTAATCACACAACTAAGTGATAGGGGATAAATGAGGAAATAGAAAGAGGTAGGCAAAAAAATAAGGAGTTGAAAAACACCACGGTAAGGAAAGCCTCGTTTTGCGGTGAGAAATAGATTCAAAGACATTGACCTGAGTAAATCTTATATATAAAGCTGAATGTCTGTTTGTATGTATGTATGTATGTCTGTCTGTATGTATGTGTGTACGTATGTTCCGAATAGAAAATTCCATTTCTGAACCGATCCGGACCAAACTTGGCACACATACACTACGGGCCCCGGCGGGTGTCATAGGCTACTTTTCGTCATCGATCGATATCGATTTTATCGATTTTTATCGATTTTTTTGCTGAGTTCACCTACGGGGCTGGGAGTTGGCACAGGGGGGTAATCGAGCATGGGGATTCCGAATACAATATTGGTTTTCAGGATTATCGATTACTTTTATCGATTTTATCGATTATTTTGCAAAGTTTGAGCTACGGGGCTGGGAGTTGGCACAGGGGGGTAATCGAGCATGGGGATTCCGAATACAATATTGGTTTTCAGGATTATCGATTACTTTTATCGATTTTATCGATTTTTTGCAAAGTTTGAGCTACGAGGCTGGGAGTTCGCACAGGGGGGTAATCGAGCATGGGGATTCCGAATACAATATTGGTTTTCGGGATTATCGATTACTTTTATCGATTTTATCGATTTTTTGCAAAGTTGGAGCTAGGGGGCTGGGAGTTGGCACAGGGGGGTATTCGAGCATGCTGATCATCCCCAAGGGGGGTGATCAGCATGCTCGATTACACCCCTGTGCCAAATTCCAGCCCCCTAGCTCAAATTTTCAAAAAATCGATAAAATCGATAAAAGTAAAGGACGATCTTGAAAACTAATATTGTATTCGTAATCTGCATGCTCGATTACCCCCTGTGCAAACTCCCAGCCCCGCAGGTCAAACTTTACAAAAAAATCGATAAAATCGATAAAAGTAATGGACGATCCTGAAAACTAATATTGTGTTCGTAATCAGCATGCTCGATTACCCCCCTGTGCAAAATCTCAGCCTCGCATGTCAAAATTTACAAAAAATCGAGAAAATCAATAAAAGTAACCGATAATTCTGAAAACTAATATTGTATTCGGAATTCCCATGCTCACTTCCCCCCTGTGCCAACTCCTAGCCCTGTAGGTGAACTCAGCAAAAAAATCGATAAAAATTGGTAAAATCGACATCGATCGATAACGAAAAGTGGACTGTGACACCCGCCGGGGCCCGAAGTGTATGTGTGCCAAGTTTGGTCCGGATACGGCGGAGCCGGGTAAGCCAGCTAGTAGTCATTAATATCAAGAGATTTGAAAAAAAAAACAAAGGAAAGTACTTCACATAACATAATAGAAATCAAGTTAAAATAAGAAGAACATCATGGGAATACTTGGGTGACTCAAACAGATATCACACCTACTATGACACCTCACCTATTTTGCGAAGCTTTCAGATTTGTAAGAATCAATTCAGAAAATTTATAGTGACATCAGAGAGCACCAAATACAAAACCTGATGAAAATCGGGATCGAAAACGAAAAAAGCGCTCCCGTCAAGATGTATCGGTGTAACTGTTGAGATACGATACAAATAGCCGCAATTTCAGATGGGTCCGAGACATCTAAAAGCAATCTTTGTTCACCAGCGCAAATCTTTAAAAAGTGCTCAATTCTAAGATTTCATTGATCCCTCCTTCCTTTTTAAAATTCGAATCAATCTCCTATGACAAAAAGTTAGAGCAAGTCACTTTAGTTGACTTTTCTACCCCTCTCCCCTCCCTGATACCTTCACACATTGAATAGGTCCCCGCGTACACTGAATACTGCTTCCTCAGATTATTGTATTTGGAATTCTGGAGAACTGCAGAAAGTGCACGAAACAGGAATAGCGGGAAAGGCTATCTTCACTCTCAAGCGCTTTAACCTCTACGAGTGGTAAGCGGTTTTACCCTACCACAGCTGGCGCCAACGCTTCAGTTGAGCTACATTCTAGATTTTCAGGGCAACGGCGCTCTTCATGCGTTACTAGCGATGTTTAAATTAACATCAGAAGTTCTAGGTTTATTGTACACTGGCTTCCCCGGATCAGCACGGGCCATTGTTCACTGGGAAGAGATAGACGCTGTTTTGGTTCCAGCACAGTACTGCAGTGAGACCCCCTTCCCCTTGCATGTTATGGATGACTTATCCTGAGATATTTTTCACTTCATCCTCGTAAGCCAGAGACCAAAGTGAGCTTTACCGTCCCTTTTTACACGACTATGGGAAAATGCTTGCTTTGTTGAAACATGATAACTACTTCTGTAGAAATACGTAAACAAATCGATAAATCGATAGAATAACCATTTACCAAAGTTGTTTTCATTAGTCTTTTCTTCAACCTCAACACTGCATCAGCTCTTTTGATCAATATATTAAGTCGTGGTCACTTCTCTATGACAGAGTCCTAACACAATCATTCTCCGCAAATCATTTTGCGAAAGCAAAAAATTGTCGAAGAATTTTTGGCCATTATTTTGGCGTTTTTGCTTGTTTTTGTTGATATGAAACAATCGCCAAACCGCCTGCAACGCACCAGAAGGAACTTTTCCCTAATTCTCATATTACCAGCAGAAAATTTATTTGAGTAATAATGCAGTTTTGCTGTACTTCAAACGACATCGTACAAATAAAAAGCCAAATACCAACTACCAAATAGAATGCGGATTTTTGAATACAAGTAAAAATTTGGAACTTCAGTCTCCTCACTTTCGGCGCTCGTCTTCGTTCTTGCCCGACTTCGAGCTACCAGGCTCTGCTCCTATCTTAGAAAATAATTCAGAGGGAAACAGCAAAGGATATTCGACGGGAATGAACTCGCAATTTTCCATCAGCTTCTCCTGTTTGAGGGATAGATTGTGAAAAACGAATAATGGCAAGATCTCAAACAACTGCTGCAAGCATCGGCGAACGCGTGTCGGAGGGACGGCAGACTGAGTTCAGTAATTTTGATGACAAAGTCCTTTCGAAGTGTAAAAGTTAAAGGCAGTGGCCCACCAAAATCAAGTCTCAGGATCTTTTGCAAAGTGCAAGTCTCCCCACTCCCATAAAACTCTGAACAGATTTTGAAATCCGCATAAAAACACCATAACCCCGTTTTTCGAAGCTCATATCAGCAACCGGACGAGTTGCACGCCTAGGCATTAGCTTTGGCAGCACGTCCAGACACGTCAAAAAGGAGGAAAACGCTTGGTAAGAGGTGTCCAGACGCTTGGGGTTTATTGGCAAGTCTCTCAGGCGCGCGCAGAATCGCCCTTCGCGCACTTTTCGAGTGCACTTTTCTCGACCTAAACGAGACTTTAATGATTAGAAAATGGGCAATGGCCTATTAAGCAGGTTCTCTAGAAATCTCAGAGAATTAGTCTGAATCGCCAAGCCACTGCCTTTGGAACTTGCTAGGCCGATGGTCCTTACAACCATTTCAAGCCCATACGTTGAAAGAAGCACATAGGCGCAGATGTTTGCAATTGTTTAAGATGAGATGCTCACCACTGGGATCAGTTTGGTGCGAGATGGAAGGGGTCGAACAAATAATCCTTCTGCTACAACCCCGCTCTGACAAATTATGAACTTCTGTTGACGGCGAACACATATCCGCTCACGCAAAAATAGTTCAATCCTAAAATCATGTAAGTTCAGACGATAAGACAAGAAACAGAATTGCAAGCATACATAGCAGTCTTCCTTGGTACAATGATTTCGTTTTCGGTGAACGTGATCTCGTTCATTGTGAATATTGCTGCGCCACTTCCAAAAGTAATTGGTATATTATTTTCTCCCTCAGTTTTTACTTCTTTGACTGTGTAGAGCTGGAAAAAAAGAAGACGCCTGACACCTGTTTGGGAACAGTGGTGACATTCACAGAATTATTAAAACTCGCCTGAGCCTTGACTGTGTCTGTAATAGCAATTTTAGCCGGACGGATATGAAAATCCCGTGCATGTTTCCCTAGTCGTTCAACATCGCTGAAGCATGATTCAAGACCTCATGAGAACATAAAAGGTGGATCAAACGAGTGGAAAGAAAAATTAATATTGCCTATGGAGTAAAGGTTTCTATACTTTGTAAATAATATTTGAAATGAATTTCTAGAAAAAAAACATTCATAAGGGTCTAATTGACGGTTCAATACTACCGTGTGTAGCATTCTCTGAAAATTCATGCAGATACTACCAAAGTTATTGCTTATTTAATCCAAAAGACAAATCATAGATTTATGTCAAATAAAGTATCTAGAATTAAGAACACAACTATGTTCATCTTTTGGTTTTTTTAGATAGATCTTTTTGGCAGGGATAACAGTGCAGCTTACCGAGGATCTCCGCTCAAGGGTTCCAACTCCTTTTTGAGTTTCAGGTGTTCGATCTGAGCGACAATGTCTAAAAAATCTTTCAGGCCGTTGTTTTGAGACGCCATTCGAAAGGCTTAATTAAATAAATACACTGGGTAGAAGAGAATACAGTTGGGCGCCGCCTCTGCTGACTACTTTGTTCCTTTTACCGTATGCGGTAGTAGTGCGAAAGGTCCCAGTACTCTCTGGACAGCGCTTACAGCGGTATTCGTTACTCAATCCAGCAAATTAAAATAAGATACACATACACACACTAATACCTCACTCCACAACAATAAAAGATTACCAGATAGAAGAGAAAATAATTTGATCATGTGAGCAAGTGAAAGGCGTTTCATATATAGTCTGTGTTCAGGCTAACTTCCCAGGACCAATGGTCCCGGACGACGCGGAAGTTAGCCTAAACACAGACTATACGTTTCATACACCGATAAAACAACACAGTTCTATGGACATCGGTGAAGGAGCCGAGTCGGAAAGGAAAGCTGGAGACGTCATACGCAGACAGTTGGCAGGTTGAAATTGGGACCAAGATATTTTAGCCAGTGCACAGAGCTAAGGGGTGATTGTCAACATGGCGGAGCGAACGAGCTTTATCATGGACAAACCCCTTGATAATGTTTGCAAATTTGAGAGCCCTGAAAGATTATTGAAATAGAGAGAAATCGAAGTCGCTCAAATTTCAAATACAAACCCTTTCATGGCCTTGAAGGAATGTCCAGTTTATGCCGCACTTTGCTTACATACGGTAGAAGCAAGCACAAAGCACAGCGGAACATCTGCAATGTTTTCTGCGTGCCAAAGCGATGAGAGTGTGTTTAAGCGAAGCCACCACAACATTGCAAATGTCAGAGCAGAAAAGGAATTTTTGCTGACCGAAGATGTTTAGCTAACATCCTCAGAAGGAAAAATGCATTTGAAATGTTCTCTGCATGCCGATATGATGAGAGCGCATGATAAGGGGGCGCTCAAGCAAAGCTACCATAACATTTCAAATGTCGACAAGAAGGAGAATTCCTACAGCTGGAGATGTTTAGCCAAGATTCACGAAAGGAGAAGTTCTACAGAGGCAGACTACAGTAGCGAATGGGAGGGGAGCGCGAATACTCCCAAAAATGGGACCCAAACTTTTTGATAGTCTACATGGGTCACAAAATTGTGTGAGACACTCGACTTGAACTGTAATGATCGGCATTTCCAGATTGCTCGAAAATAAAAAAAATTTTTTTGGGCGCCTCTGCTGAATTTTCACGAAAATAGACTGTGAAAAGCTCGATAAGCATCCCTAAATTTTTTTGGATGCCTTCGAATTGGAAAAAAAATTCCTGTCGCCTCCTCCCTTCTGGATCGCCCATACTTGCAGTCAACACATCAACACATTATTTTACCGCCCCCTTGATTTTCGCTAAGTTTTACGAAGTCCCCCCTGACCTTAAACCCTAAACCTTAAAAAAAACCCCCAAAAAAGGAAACGTCGACAAAACAAAGTCGCAATTTGTCGACAAAAACGATATACCCTTTGCTTTTTATCCCAAAAACGATATCTAGCTTGCCCCGTGCCAGCTGGTGCCAGGAACTGGTCCCAAAAATCTGCTATAGAACTGCGCACGCTAGCGATATTTCCAAAAGTCAGGTGTCCGCCCTTGGTCGCGTTCCAGCAGCTCTATGAAAAATATTTTAGTGCTAAGTATTTATGAAATAGTAGTTTATATCCGTACATGGTTGGTAGGTCCCAAATTCATTGCTTTCGTCTCTTATGCCATTCTTCTCGCTATCACTAGGGTAACTCCGTATGCTAAAACTTCGTTCTTCTTGCTCTACTTGAAAGCACTCGGATACGGCTCGGCAGAGGTCCCAGAAATTCGAGTCATATGCTTACCGGAAGCTTGCCTTATAGGTGACAATCTCTCTGACCTTCTTCGCCTGATCTACAACCTTTTCGCCTCAAAACTAAACCTCCATGATCATTACAGAAGTAAAACAAACCAAATAGCTCAGAAACTTCGTTTCATGAAGGTTGAAAAAATATTTAGAACCTTCTTTGAGGCTTTCGTTTGCTCCTTAGTCAAATACAAAACATGGAACGTGCGACTTCTCTATAAATCTCGGCATGGTGTTGATATTGTAGTTGTGTTTCTGAGCCTTGACCCGAGATTGTTAACACTTTATTGGCTGACGTTTCGGCAAGTCGCCTTCTTCAGAGCCTGGAATGGACAGTACGACTTGCAAGCTATTCGATCAAACGCCTCTGCAGCCATGCAAACAAAACTCTAAGGCTTCGGTAGATTAGTAACTAACTGCTTAACCAAGCACTCACCTTTTGAACACGCCGATAGAGTTCTGATGCCAGAGCGAGCGTTGAATGACTAACAAGGAAAGGAAGGTTGGTCGAAGTGGCCTTTCGAAATGAGGTGTATACTGCCTTGTAGAGCTTCGCTGATTCCATATCTACCTTTGCTATCTGCTGCGGGCTTCTGGGCGAGGAGTTGTGAAGGTTTTTGTGAGTGACAATCTGAATGCAAAAATAGGGTAAAATCAGTCGTAACCTTTTCCCAATGCTCAAATGAGGCAGCAGCGAATTGCTATATTTGAATCAAGAATATTTGTTGCACCGAGTGACCCAACTACGCCAATCAAGCCTCATAAAAAATCTTACGACTGATTTTAGCTTACTCTTGCATTCAGACTTTTACTCACAAAAACCTTCATAACTCCCCGCTCAGAATCCCGCAGCAGATAGCAAAGGTAGATTTGGAATCAGCGTTCCAAGCTCTACAATAAAGTATACACCTCATTTCGAAAGGCCACTTTGACCAACCTTCCTTTCCTTGTAAGTGCATATGCCACGGCTATTTATAACGTCTCCGCCGGGTCAGAAGATTTAACCCAAGTAGGGAGCGAGCTCACCTGTGATGGCTAGGCATTCTTCCTTACGATTCATTTTAGGGCTTTTGGCGAATCCAAAATGCCTCTAAACATTTGCGAGCCGATGTCTGTGATTCATGCGCTAAAATTTGTACTGTAAGCTTAATGTACGCAGATTGTTCGTTGGATATTCTAAAGCAATTAATAACTTGGAGTTGAGCAGATTATGAATGGATTCGTCGATGTATCTGCAATACAGTAATGGGCGGCATTCCAAAATTGGCGCTTCGATCTTGGCCATAAAGGCTACTGCAAGCGTGGGCGCTAACCTTTGTCCCCTCGCCAACCCTCTTACTTGCGCGTAGCAGCTCCCGTGCCATCTGAAAATATTGCATCCAAACACGCTTTGAGAACATGAGCTGCGAAACTGAAAGCCCGTAAAGATTGATGTTGGTTTCGTTACCCATAAGAAGCTCAGACACAGCTTGCAACGCGCACTCGTTACTGACATTGGTATAAAGGGCGCTGACATCAAATGATTCCATGACACAGCTGCGATCAATGCGTGTTTAGCGCAGGCGCTCCAGAAACAGCAGTCTGCCAACCCTAGCGTCGATATCAGCTTCCGTCTCTTTGCAGACGAAGTATTTAGATCTATAACTAGGATACGTCAGCACCTACCACCGTCAGAACGCCTTCAAATCTGACCACCGCGCAAAGGTAGGGCATAAGACAAAATCAACAGCTAGTTAACACAGCGTAGAGACGACTTTCTACTAGCGATAAAGGCGGCGAATTTGTAGTCATTCCCCATCAGTTGGATGTTGCGATAACCGAAAGGCACCTCCAAGACGTCTCGCTATATCGACCGTCGTCGATTGCCGAATTCCAAAAGCATTGTCGCAAACTCAATAGAGAGTGGGTCAAAATAACGGAAGCCATGAATTTATCACCCGACATGATTTTGCGCCTCAAGATCGAGTTGCCCGCGTGCCCCGTGCTATATCTTCTCATAAAAACACATAAGCTCCAATCTGACGCTGATCTGGCTTCCACGGAACCTTCCACATTTAAGGTGCGAGCCATAATAGGTAAGTTGCGTGGCAGGGCCAACGAATAGAATATTTTGGTTTGTCAATTGTGTCCTGGTACAACTGCTCAAGTTCATCCCATCTCACTTGGCCAACACAAATATGTTTTTGGAGCGCCTGCGCGAAGCACGCATTGGTTGCAGCTGTGTCATGGAATCATTTGATGTCAGCGCCCTTTATACCAATGTCAGTAACGAGTGCGCGTTGCAAGCTGTGTCTGAGCCTCTTATGGGTAACGAAACCAACATCAATTTTTACGGGCTTTCAGTCTCACAGCTCATGACACTTCTCAAAGCGTGTTTGGAATGCAATATTTTCAGATGGCACGGGAGCTATTACGCGCAAGTAAGAGGGTTGGCGATGGGACAAAGGTTAGCGCCCACGCTTGCAGTAGCCTTTATGGCCAAGATCGAAGCGCCAATTTTAGAATGCCGCCCATTATTGTTATTGCAGATACATCGATGATTGTTTCATAATCTGCTCAACTCAAGCAGAATTTGACAATTGCTTTAGAATACTCAACGAACAATCTGCATGCATTAAGCTTACCAGGGACTGACCCAGCACTGAATGGTTGCCATTTTTGAATGTGCAGAGCAATATATCCTCAGGCGCGCACTTCACAAAATGGTATCGCAAGCCAACTAATAAAAATATTCTTGTCCGCTTTAGGTCAGCTCATCCGCGTCAAACAAAGAAGGCAGTCATTCAAAATATGTTCCGCACAGCCCTTCGCGTTTGTAGTGAACAACTGAGAGAGAGCGGAGTCACTTGCGTTTGCGCGAAAAATCGCTGCTTCCAATGGATATGAAAATCGGGCCAGAACAGAGAGGAGGGGTGAAAATCGCCTTAATCAGGTGGAAAGAACGCGCGCAGCTGAAAAGATCTCCTTTTGCATCCTCTACATTTCCGATAAAGTAAGCACTGCATTTCGACAGTGTCTGAGGAAGTGCGGGCTAGAAAATACAGTTACGATTGTGGAAATAGCCCCAAATAATCTTAAAAGCATTTTGGTGCGCAATCGTATCTATGATCGCGGCTGCACTACGCCCAATTGCATTATCTGCCCTGGGGGCAGGGGCGGGGACTGCATGGTGACGGGGGTCATCTATCTTATCACCTGCGCGAGCTGCGGCGACGAGTACATAGGCAAGACAGCGCGGCGGCTATGTGTTCGCATAAGAGAGCACATAGACGGCAAAGATAGATCAGGAATCTCCACCCCACTATGCACTCACAGGGCGCTAAAACACGCGGAGACTAATTTCGAAGTCACAGTGAAAATTTTAGCGCATGAATCACAGACATCGGCTCGCAAATGTTTAGAGGCATTTTGGATTCACACCAAAAGCCCTAAAATGAATCGTAAGGAAGAATGCCTAGCCATCACACGTGAGCTCGCTCCCTACTTGGATTAGATCTTCTGACCCGGTGGAGACGTTATAAATAGCCGTGGCATATGCACTCAGTCATTCAACGCTCGCTCTGGCATCAGAACTCTATCGGCGTGTTCAAAAGGTGAGTGCTTGGTGAGGCAGCTAGTTACTAATCTACCGAAGCCTTAGAATTTTGTTTGCATGGCTGCAGACGTTTGATCGAATAGCTTGCAAGTTGTACTGTCCATTGCAGGCTCTGAAGAAGGCGACTTGCCGAAACGTCAGCCAATAAAGTGTTAACAATCTCGGGTCAAGGCTCAGAAACACAACTACAAATACAAAACAATCTTCAAATGCTGAGGTTCCACCGCAAATTTCCTCCTGACTACTACGTTATGATCAATCCATGTAAAAAATTTATTCAAACTATAATAGAGCTCTGTTTGATCTTCAAACAATAACATACAAATACAAGAAGCCAAATACCAATCACCTTATACAACTTTTTGAATGAAGGTGCAAGTACGAAATTTTACTGTCCTCATCCTCACTTGTTTCTGCGTTCTTCTCTATTGTGCAAATGTGAACTACCAGCAAATGTGAACTCAGCTTTTCTGCTGACCAAAATTTCGCCGTGAAATAGCATTGTGCTGGGAATGATGTTGGGAATGAACTCGTAATCTTCCATCATTTTCTCCTGTTCGAAAGATTGATTTTCAAATATGGAATTAGAAGAGATCTCAAATGATTGTTGCAAGCAGGCGGGCAGTTGTGGCACAAGGTGGCATCTGAAATTTATGGACGAAGACCTTCAAGTCTTAAATTTCGACACACTTTTTGTGGTGTTTAAAGAAGCGCGACTTTTGAAGATTTGCAACGATTGATGGATGAAGAAAGAAGTTTGCATGTTGTCAAAGGGACACAGCAAGCAGACTCTGCAAGTTTTGACAAGGAGAGGATACTTAGTCGAAAGCACTAATCCAGATGAGACACATATCATGTTGAAGCGCTTGAAACGCTGATTCCAAATCTGTAGTTTTTAGCAGCGGAGCGATTCTGTAGAAGGAATTATGAAGGGTGTTTCCCTTAGGGGTTAAGGCGGGGTATATGTCAAGAATAACGATAGCTGGCAATAGTGACACCCTGAGTGCCCGGGTGTCAATAGACGGTATACAGGTAGCACTGCCCCAGCAGAGGACGAGCTCACGCAAGCAGTACATTTTGTAGCATTGAATGCCCAAAGCGTTGTTCTTCTTTATTCATGCTTTATGTTAAAGCTTCTGCTATTTTCTAAGGATGGACCATGAACACGCGAAAGAATTGTTTTAAGCTTGGTTTGGCATGTGAAATATGTAAGCTTTCTTGGTTGATTGAGAAAACAAATTTCGAATGAAACGAACTGAGATTTAAATCATTTTCTTCAATTTAATGAATGAGTGAAGGCGGGCTGTTCTGCGCGCCCGAGCAGCTGGCAGCTAGCGGCTGGCAGGGCTATCGTTATTCTTGACCGTCTCCTCTTACCCTAGTGGTACCAGCTGGTAGCAACTGGCCAGGGGTAAGTAATTTGAATGAAGATTACATTAAGGATTATGATACTCGTATTACTTTGGTTTATAACGCTTCTACTTTCAATTAGCATCAATATCGTCCGAAATTTCGGGCTTTAGGGTTCTAGAGCCATTTAGAAGCTCAAAATTTGCGATAAAGTTGCATGCGAAGAGGACTAAAACCTTGACACTCTCTTTATCAAGCGAGGCACTTACCACTAAGCCAGTTGCCACCAGTTGGTACGCCTCTACAGTGCTCATAGATAAGGGGAGACCTGCTAGAGGGCGCCTCAACCCCAAAGGGAAACACCCCTCATAATTCCTTCTACAAAACCGCTCCGCTGCTAAAAACTACAGATTTGGAATCAGCGTTTCAAACGCTTTGAGATGATAAGTGTCTCATCTGGATTGGTGCTTTCGATTAAGTATCCTCTCGTTGTGAGTACCGAGACTGCGCCCTCTTCTACAGTCTTTATAAGCAACAGAAGAAGATAACTAATTTGCGAGAATATTATGTATGCTATTGGGTAAGGTGAGTATGACAAAATTGTTGCGTAAGTTTCAAAAATTTATAGCATGGTATGTTTGATTACTATCCCTTCCTCGTACAAAGAACAAGCGCGAGTTTGAGATTAAAATTTTAGCCGGGTCTAGCATTTGGAAAAGATACAAAATGATCGCCAAAAAGGCGGCCATTTTGTAGAGCGTCTACTCACACAAATCACCAGAACTTCCGCAGGACAAGCTAAATTTGCAGAGGTTCGGCAGCATTTTTGCCTGCCAGAACTTCCGCAGGACTTTGAATGCGTTGTCTCGTAATGTTGTCTCACCAACAACTCGAGTGCATTATCGAACATGTCAGTCGTAGCGTAGAGGATAGTAGGTGGGTCTCACAGTCAATAGAATGAGGTTCAAATCTCGCTTCGGTGTTCTCTTTTGCTGTTGTGGTTGGCATTCTTCGGAACTTCTGCAGGACCTCATTTCGGAACTTCCGCAGGTGACCCGGCGGAACTTCCGCAAGCGCTCTGCGGAAGTTCCGGTCATTTGTCTGAGTAAGTCGAAATCTAGGTAAAAACTGGAGTAAAAATCAAAAATTTTCGACTACTCTTAAAATCGGTTCTCCTTCCAGAAGACCCCTACAGACCTCCAACTTGGTCACATTATACATTAGACACATAATGATACTCAAAAATGTAACTGGTGTATTTGTTCCAGGGCTCAAACTGAAAAATCCCGAGAATGCAAAAATGTCACTTTTTTCGGGTTTTTGATGTTAAACTTGGTATTTTTCGATTACCAAAGCACAAACAGAGATACCCTAATTTCACGCGTATAAGGCGCGGGGGATTTCTTGACTCTATAACGTCTGTATATTGCTTAAGAGAATCGTACGGTATAAAGATCTCTTCCCGGAATATAGTGAAGCGGCTGAGCGGCTCGCTTGAAAATTCGAAAAAGTGCCCTTATACGCGTAAAATTAGGGTAATATTCTACGTCATACTTAACAAGGCTTCTAATATGCAATGACATATGTAGGAGAAGCTGGAAACGGAGCTTGCCATTTTTTGATCACCTTTTTTTCTTGCTTTCTAAGCGCGGAAAAAATCCAGTAGTGGCATATTTGAGTACTACCATGTGCCACATGTATTCAAGTTCAGTGGCAGATCCCAAATGCGCAGCATTTATAACTTTCGCAGGTTGAGAAGATGCCCTATCTTCTGCACATTCAGAAACGCCTTAGGCCTAAGGCATACCTTGCGCGATTCCGGTCGCCGCGCGATCTGGCACAACAGCGACTCTTCGTAATTCGTCGTTAATGTGCTGCTTTGGTCAGAACTTGTTCCGTTTGCAACAACTTGCACAAGCTACCCAAATATGCGTCCGAGAAGCGCCCTCGATGAATATGTAGAAATCTGGCAAGTTGTCAAGTCGCGTGAAAGTGGCGATTCGGCCGAATCACGTGAGGTATGCCTTAGGCCTCGGACAGAGTTCACGCGATTGATCGTCGCGATTCAATCGCTACAAGACAACTGCCAGCGCAAAATTTTTGAATGTAAAATGAAAATGAATGATAATCGCGGCGATTGAATCGCGACGATCAAATCGCGAGAACTCTGTCCGAGGCCTTAGGCCTTACGATGAGTTATAAACAACTGGAATATTGCCAAATCGCGTCGCGACTAGAATCGCGTGAGCTATACCCAGAGCCTTAAGCCAAAAGCTATCAAGAACCAGCTCAGGCGCCGCGGGTGCTTGCAACAATTATCTGACAAGGGAAGTCACTTAACTTAGGTCGGGCTTTTGAAATGAGACACATATATTTAGAATCGACTCGGAACGCGGATTCTTAATATGCTATCCTTAGCTGCGAAGCGTTTCTCTGAAGCGAGTTATGAGCTTTTTTAGTATGTGTCATTGACATACAACTGAATATGGAAAGAAGGCCTTTAGATGAAGCCCAAAGCTCTGCCTAAAAAGTGGTGGAAAATCAAAATAACATCAAATTGAGTCATTTGGCTTCGATAGGGTATAATATGCATTTGAACCACTACCTAGATGGTCATACCGTAGCATGCCTAAGTCGGTCAACACGCAAAATTTGCTCAGGAAAAAGCTCATAACTCGCTTCAGAGGAAAGCTTCGCAGCTAATGAAAGCAGATTTGAAATCAGCATTTTAAGCTAATTCCAACCATATGTGTCTCATTTCAAAAGCCCGGCCTAAGTTAAATGACTTCCCTAGTGACAAGAGATGCCTACCACTGGGATTAGCTTGGTGCGAGACGGAAGGGCTTGAATGAATATTCCTTCTGCTAGTATTCCGTTCTGACATATTATGAAGTTATCTTGCGGAACTATGCATATGCGCTCACGCAAGTGTAATTCAACCCTAAAACCGAGTTTAAACGATACTAGAAAACATAAGCGAGCATACACAGCAGTCTTCCTCGGCACAACGATATCCTTTTCTATGAAGGCGACGTCGTTAAGTGTGATTACTGCTGCACCACTTCCAAAAGTGATTGGCGTTTTAGTTCCTTTTTCAAATTTCAATTCTTTAACAGCGTAGAACTGGAAATAAATAAAGTTGACACCTACTTTCAAAGCCAAAATATTATTCGTAAAAATTAATGGAACCCGCCTGAGCCTTGACTGTATCTGTGATAGCACACTTATCCCGACGCGTTTGAGAATTCAGTACGGCTTCTTTCAGTTGTTCAATATCGCTAAAGCGTGTTATCATCTCATGAGAACATGCAAAGTGGAACAGCATGCATAGCAGAATCTCATTTGAAAAGACAACTACTCCATACTCTCAGATAATCGCTCGCGCCAGCGGGCGATTTGCTGTAGCATGCCAAAAAGGTAGAAGCGCTCGGGCGTTGCCACATCAATCGATTGCCCTACTACTATGCCTACCAAGTAACTGTAAATATGTTGATGTGTATAAACGATATTGTGTCTAGGTGTTAGGCCTCGGACAGAGTTCACGCGATTTGACGACGCGATTTAATCGCCGCGATTTTCATCTATTTTCATTTTACGTTCAAAAAGTTCGAGCTGAAAAGGTATCACAACCGAAATGCAAGCTGATCGGTATGCAATGAACTCGTAACAGTTGTCTTGTAGCGATTGAATCGCGACGATCAAATCGCGTGAACTCTGTCCGAGGCCTTAGACTAAACCGAAAAGCCGTTCGCACCGTTTTTAAAAATTTAAAATTTCCTACTTTATCAACCGACCTGGACATGTCTATCTTTATATGAAAGGGGAGCTCGCTCTTTTCAATTGCGTGAATTCGTTTTTAACGGAAGCAAGCACCGAAGATTGAAGCAGGAGAATAGAAATACTCAATTTTCAGATTTCCTGCGTAAGACCGGTAACAAAATAGGTGCAGTCGGTATCATAGAGCAAGGACTGCGCTGATTGAACGTCTTTATGAATTTCGAAAAAAAACATAAAAAGTTGAAATCGCTGTTTTGTAACGTCATCTTTCGAACAGGAATTATTGAAAAACACCCTCGAAAAATTTTGCTCTCGCTCTTCAGTAGGGGTTTTCAAAGTTTGAAAATTGCATCATAATCTTGTAAATGAATTTTCATTCCAGCTTATATTCAACATTGTTAGGCAAATGATGACAGTCTCTCCAGTGTCACATAATCAATTTTATTTGTCTACTGAAAAACTGACATGGGGGACATACAGTCCGTATCACCGATGGTGCTCCCTTTCGATCAGCTAAAGCGCAGCGTCAGTGTAGCGTGCCGCATCGATCGGGGATCGCTGCGCAAAACGTACGCGTTGTGGGTGTGTGGTTGCAGCCGAAAAGGGATTACGTAGTTGACACAGACTGTACAGCTCGAGTACAGTCGATGTCAGTTACGTACTCCCTTTCGCATGGGAACTACGCATGCGCAACGCAAGAGTCCCGCATGCAGACCTTCAATCGATAAGGCCCACTTAAATGCCCGATTCATACGCGCGCGAACGTGGCGCGAAGCTTACTGCATTTGCGGAAAAGGGAGCACGTGATTGACACGGACTGTACGCAGTAAATTCGCGAGACATAGTCTAGCTTACAATCTTGTAAAATTTTTAAAATGTTTAACATATAATAAAGCCATTACTTACAAATATAACTACTTAAATGTACACAAAACCACCAAAAAATTTGTCAATTACATCATAGAAACCATAGAAAAAGGTTAGATCATGTTTTTAGATCATAGCCTAGTCCTGCCCTGATTTTTGATCTAACCGCTCACGCCCCCTATAAATACCCCCCACTATATATATACAATTTGAGTGAAGACTACCACTACTACCACCACTCCTCCCCTACTGATGAGCCTCGGGAGTGGTTAGCCTTCCATTCTTCCCTGTCTAGGGGCAAGAGGCGAAACAGGACTATTTTTCTTAACAGAGTTTTCATAATTGTACAAAAGCCATTATTAGCCTCTGATAAAAAGAAAACAAGTAAGCTGTGGTAGTGTCTTCAGTATTGATTGATGTTGCTTTGATTGTTATCCAGTTTGTTGCGTGAATTTTTCCGAAAAGTGAAAAATTTCGAGGGAAAAGATGTCGAGTAACTTTTCCAATTTTTCTTGAACTCGACCTAGAGACAAAGAATTTTTGAGTTTATTGCTTACAGGGGAACTATTCGCGTTTTGTAGAGCAGACATAGATCTTACAAACGCTCATGAACACTCCAAATGCGAAACAAAATACTGAGGTTTGAATCAAACAAAAAATTCAAGTAAACTAATTTACTGCACTATAATGACTCGAATACCCAGCAATAGTACTGCAACCTACCGAGGATCTCCGCTTATGGGTTTGAAATCCTTTTTGAGCTTCAGATGCTCAAACTGTGCGACAATGTCTAAAAAATCCTTCAGGCCGTTGCTTTGGAACGCCATTCGGAAACCTCTAAAGTACCCTTTGATTCAACTGGCTTGACGGCTGGCAGGCGGGGCTTCGTGACCTAATTAAGGCTAGGTTATGATCAGAGAGCACGCGCGCGGGAGAGCCGCAGACTGCGTCGCGGGCGTAAGCGGCCTTAATCAGGTCACAAAGCTCCGCCTTCCAGCCGCCAAGCCAATTGCACAAAGATCAAATGAATACGTTGGGTAGACGAGCAAATACAGTCGGGCGCTATGTTGATTACTGTCCCTTTTGCCGATGCGACAAATGTGAAATTACTTTGCGAAAAGCGCATACGGTATTTGTTCCTCGTTCCATCAGATCAAAGAGTAAGATACACTTTCACACACCAATACTCACCACAGATCAGCAATAAAAATATTCAGATAGAAAAGAATGCAATTCAAATATGTGAGCAGGTGGAAGGCGCTTCATATATAGTCTGTGTTCAAGCTAACTTCCCAGAACCAATGGTCCCGAACGACGCGGAAGTTAGCTTGAACACAGACTATACATTTTATACACCGATAAAAGAACACAGTTTTATGGACATCGGTGAAGGAGCCAAGTCGGAAAGAAAAGCTGGAGACGTCATACGCAGGCAGTTGGCAGGTTGAGAGTTGGGACCAAGATATTTTAGCCAGTGCACAGAGCTAAGGGGTGATCGTTAACATGGCGGAGCGAACGACTTATCATGGACAAACCCCTTGATAATGTATTGCAAATTTGAAAGCCCTGAAAGATTATTGAAATAGAAAGAAATCGAAGTTGCTTGAATTTCCAATTCATACCACTGCCAAGGAAGAGGGAGGCCTTGAGACATGGCCTTGAAAGAATGTCCAGTTTGTGCTGTACTTTGCTTATATACGGTAGAAGCAAGCACAGAGCACAGCAGAACATCGGCAGTGATTTCTGCATGCCAAAGCGATGAGAGTGTGTTTAAGCGAAGCCACCACAACATTGCAAATGCCAGAGCAGAGAAGGAATTTTTGCTGACCGAAAATGTTTAGCTAATATCTTCAGAAGGAAAAATACATCTAAAATGTTCTCTGCATGCCGATGTGATGAGAATGCATGATAAGGGGGCGCTCAAGCGAAGCTACCATAACATTGCAAATGCCAGCGACAAGAAATTTCTGATAGTTGAATATTTAGCTAACATACACAAAATGAGAAATTCTTTAAAGGCAAAAGCACGTTTGAAGACTTCAGTGGCGAAGCGTAGGAAAGAGGGGTGCGCACCCTTCCAAAGACCCAAAATCTTTAGAACTAGCTTACATGGGCAAAAAATTGTGTGTGACCCTCGATTTCATCTGCGACACTTGAATTTAATGAAATTGTTCGATGTCTCAAGTAAATTTCCTTTGGGTGCCCCTACTGAATCTTCACGGAAATACGAATGTGAAAAACTTAAAAGATCCCAAAAATTTCCTCGAACGGCCTTCCAAAAAAAATTTCTGTCGTCTTCTACCTTTTTGGATAGCCCATACTTCCAGTGGACATATTATTTTACCGCTTTCTAAAGTAAAACTGCTCAACACGACATCCTAAAATCGTCCACTCGACGCTTTTGCACCGAAAAAGCGCATGCAGAGTGGGCATTTAACATCGCGCAGGCCTTTGTTGCACTTGATATTTTGTTAGAATGCATTTCCACCTCCACTAATTTGTTATGCTGTCGGCAAAGAGCTAGCATATAAGGACGACTACAGATGTGATGTATCTCATATTTTGATAGTCAATATCACTCGCAAAAAATCCATTTCTTCCTATCGAAGTTGAACAGGTTTTGTAAAGTCAAGCCCACAACATTCTCTTCTAGATCAGAAGCGTGTGGTGGACAAAGGTTTCGACTAACATATATTCATCCGTTTTATTATTCCATGTCAAGTATTCTTTCGATTTCCTTTTTGTTTATTTTATATTAGTGAATCATAAAAGGCACCATCCACCCAGATTTTCAACTTCCACGTTTTTGTCATTTCAGGGCCTTCTCATGTCCCTGATTCCGAATATGAAGTGAAATGCGCGAAAACCCCGACAATCACCGTTCTGGAGAACCCATAGGGCGGCTTTCCGAAACGGTGATTGGACGGGCGCGCACAAATGGGCGGGCATGGATGGGGGAGGGCGGGCTTGAATGGGGGTCCTCGTGTATCTTCACTAATCCGAAGCGATTTTCTCGCTTCCGAAGCGGCAATTTGCGCTGCGACTTGGACATTGGATTCACAACGGGCCTCACTATTATATGCTGCCAAAAGCTCAACACCCTCAACTTAGGGTGGGCGGTGCCTTTAATCCTGAAGGTACTAGATTTGAAGACGCGTTTGCTGCGGGAGCCGCGCGGTTTCCCCCAATTTCACCTTTTTTGAATGGGCACAACGAGTTTTTTTTTCAATACAGAAATTTCTTGGATCAATTGCAAGAACCGTTGTGAGCGCCAGAGAGTGCGAGTGTGTCAAAATGGCAGGGGTTCGGGGCAGTTTTCTAGGTAGGGGCAGCATACTGTGCGCTCGGTAGGGCAGCATACTGTGCGCTCGGACTTGCTCTGTTCTCATATTTGGGGTGTAAGCAGCCAACTATATCAAAATTCCAGGATTCAGTTTTGCCGCGCCATAGTTTTGAGCTTTAAAGGCATTTCCCGGCAAAAATGCGATCTCCATTTTTCACCTTTCCGCAGCTCGCCGTGCTGAACCCGTATATGGGTTTTGCAGTGCCTGAAAATGGCAAAAAGGTTTTAGGCTCTCCATGGCGGCCACCACTGGAAAATGCATGCAAGTAGGCGCAGTCTGGAACGAAGGGGCTGGGTCCGGAAGACTTCTGGAGTGGAATTCAGGCTTTCTTTCGAAACGACCATCATTCTGCCGCGACGCTGCCTTTAAGCTAAATATCATTTTCGAGACCTTTCGACATAACCGCGTTTCTGCGATAGGTGAGTATACCTCACGAAATTCCGATTACCATGCCTGACTGACCTTCATACATCCACCACGCGAATACCTCAGCTATACGATGCCAAAGCTTTCGCAAATTGATGAGTGCATACCGTTTCGTATATACAAAGCGTTATGACGAGTTACAAACAACTAAATTTGGCCGTGCAGCAATCGCAATCGTCCAAGAAATGCCCAAATATTGAATACCAGCAATTCGGTTTTGTTTGCCTCCTCGTACCCAATGAACTCAAGAATAACTCTCGCTCACAGCTCATAAAACGGAGATTGATAAGGTTTACTTCAAAATGAAAAAATATTTTCATAACAGCATTCAATGTTGTACAAGTGAGAACATAGTAAACAAAATAACAACTAAGAACAATCTAACAACTACTAGCCTAATGAATTTCAGTATTAACAAGTGCTCAAAGAAATAAACTCTATATGCAACACACCTTTACTTATTATTCTCAGCATCCTCAAATGCTTTGGCCGCTGGATTGTCTTTAGGCGAGTGCGAATAATCGGGTTTCAATCGCTTCTCTGCCAACTCTCCATATGGGTTAAATCCAAGCCGTTCCATTTCTGCCTTCATCAGCTTCTTCTTGTTTTTAGGATTCTAAAACGAAAATCTAAACACCACGCAAAAAATGGGCTATCATTTGTACCTTTTCTTCTTCAGTTTGAGGAGGTAGCAATTCGGTGAAAACGCCTGTTCCGGTTGTGGTTGTTCCTTGACGTATCGTAAACCGCTGTTGAGGTTCGATAAACATTTTCTGGTTTAGACGTATCTCGACTCTAAAAATTATCAGGGTAGCAGTCACAAGAAAGATCTTGGGGAATTATGAAGGTAAGATCTTCTAGCTTCAGAAAAGTTTCTCAGTGATACTTCAAAAGAGCCTTCGCAGGAGAAATGCGAGGATAAGGAACATACTCGGCTGCCTCTCCTGGCATGACGAAATCTTTTCCAATAATTTTGAGCAATCCTGATGCATCCCAAGTGAGCGAAAATACGTGTTCAGTGAAATAGTTAGCAATAGGTGTCTTCGAACCGCCTTCGGCTGGCTTGAGAACGTAGAGCTGAACATAATATACATATACTGATGACTCTGGTAACAAAAAGTATACTAAAACTGAGACAATTGCACGCTTACGGATGTCTGCAAAAGAAAAAAGAAACTTGCCTGGGCTTTTACTTTGTCGGTTGCCTTATGTTTATGCCCCTGGGGTAGAAGGACGCAACCTCTTCGGACATCTTTTGGCCCCAAACCTCGCAGCAGTACACCTAGTTGGTCTCCCGGCTCTGCTTGTTCGACGGTCTTGCGGAACGACTCCAAACCTAGAAGAAAAAGTCAAACTACAAAAAACTCAAAAGTTCAAAAGCAGTTCAGATAAGCCAATTGATTCTGACATGAGCACTTACCAGACACAACAGATTTTAAATTTTCCCGATCACAGCCAATAATTTCGATCTTGTCACCGCGTTTAAGTGTTCCTCGCTCCAATTTTCCAGTAATAACAGTTCCTCGCCCTGCAGTGCAAAGTTTATCGCAAAATTCAGAGAAAAAAGAAAATGGCATGAGCTTGCAAAGTGACTATAAAACCCGTGCCTATCGATCGACCATATGAATACAAAAATACCTAATCCTTTGAAGCTGAATCTGTCAGCAAAAAAAAAGATTTTCTTACAAATTTCGTTGTCACTTACCTTGAATTGAGTATACGTGTTCAGCAGCAAACATTGCCTCGGTGTCAATTTTCCTCTCCGGTATAACAAAGTGATTATCAAGTACATCTAGTAGCTTTTTGATAGATTCTTCACCAATTTCTGGTTGTTTTCCTTCTAGGGCACATAAAGCTGAGCCAAAAATGACCTAAAATGAAAGCAGTACATTTCGTAAGCACGACATTACTGACCCGAAGTGACGGACGAAAATGAACAAGCAGAAAGAATCTGTACTGACAGGTGCGCTATCTCCTGGATAGTCGAATTCATTCAGTAGCTCACGGATTTCCATCTCTACCAGCTCACGCGTTTCTTGATCAGGGACTTCATCTACCTAAGATGGAGAGACGACATGGAAAAGCAAGAAATTCTTGACAGAAAATATGACATAAAAAGTATGAACCACACCTTATTCAGATACACGGCTACATTCTCTTTTGGAATTCCAACCTGATGAGCAAGGAGCAAATGCTCTCGAGTCTACAATATAGTATACCTCCACATAACAAAAAATTTTACAAAGTATGCATACCCTTAGAACTGACCTGTGGCATGGCACCATCCGTAGCGGCAACAACGAGGATAGCTCCTTCCATTTGTGCAGCACCAGTAATCATGTTTTTGATATAGTCAGCATGTCCAGGACAGTCAATATGTGCATAATGTCGTTTTGCAGTTTCGTATTCAAGATGAAACGCGTTGATAGTGATACCTTAAGCGCATATATCTTGTAATTTCGAAACCATATAATAGCTTCACAATAACAATTATATTTTCTAGTACATAGCAAACAAATGAGCAAGACATACCTCTCGCTTTTTCTTCTGGAGCGTTATCGATATCCTCATATTTGCGGAACTTAGCAAACTTCGATGCAGCCAGAACTAAAATCTTTGAAGGATCAAGTCTCTAAACACTTTTATTTGCAATTAGGGCACAGGTGTAGCGATAACGCCATGGTCGTCATAACTGATCTAGATTGGATCCGGACTCGTTAAGGATCACGTGCGACTATGGCGTCATCCTGACACAACGAGTATGGGTACCATACTTCTTTGAAGCAATTTCACAAAAAACATCCAGTGAAGATGAAAACAACAGAACAGCATACAAGACTTATTTCAAAAATTTTCAAAAATAACTCAAAATTAGAAAATTACTCAAGTTCAAAGTTGACATTGATATCTCCTACCTTTTGTAATAGCTGAGGTTAAAGTTGTTTTACCATGATCAACATGTCCTATTGTGCCAACATTGAGATGAGGTTTATCACGCTAAAACAGTATAGATAGGAAAAACATAGTGAAAATTCGATATATAAAACAAAGAACCTTGAAAACGGCTTTTCCACCAGGTGCAGCCAAACATCGGACCTGTTGTGACCTTGTGATGCTTGACACAACTTTTTCACCCAAGGAGCTATTGAGGACGGATTCTGAAACAAATCGCTATTTACCACTGAAAATGGAAAAAAGTAAAGCACTTACTACTAGATGGAACTGTAATCCTCAATAACGACAAGATGTGCATCGTTACCAAGCTGAAGCGAAAATGTAATATATCAACAACGAAATCACTATTTCAAGAACCGAAAATTGCAAAAGAAGAGCAAAGAGAAGGATCTGATAGAAAGAGTGGGAAGTAGAAAAAAGCACTTCCGATCTGGGTATAGATATAGATTTTGATGTTGCTAGTCACTAAATCTGCAAAATCGAAGTGCAAGCTTGCGCGATTTTCATGGACTGCTGTTTTTTTTTTGATAGAAACTATTCTATAGACGATGCGCTACGACTCACCGATTCTCCCCCTCAAATTGACAGTTTTGCCTCCGATAGACTACGGCAAAACCTATGTTTTGCCCTTTCGCAACACAAGCGGAAGAAGGTTCATTCGTCAGCTATGAACATAATATTGGGAACGCTCCCAGCACAAATTATCCACTGATACAACTGAACAACAAACGCCTTGTGGGCTAATGATCAATGAGATTATGGAAGGAGAGTAAGGAGCGGGAGAACCTAAACAATGATGTTGCCCTTGCTAACGGGACCATATAACGCGTAACAAGGAACGATGCAAATCAACACTTCTCCGAAACAACCTCCTAATCTACCGGTACATCCAGAACACCAAATCTGAGAAGCAAATGACTCAATCTCCCTGTAATGAACGATTGACATCAAAACTAGAAAGGCCCAGTGTTACATATGAGTTGCTATGCTCTCAAGCGCACAAACGATGCAAGACGTATCTTTCTTCTTGCAGTGGAGCTTGTTCTACGTTGTAACGCCTTTCCGATAAGATTCCACAGCACACTTTGCCCATTTCCTCTCGATCACTGCTGCCATGCCTTGCCTCGCCCTTCCAAAATTCCTGCAAAAACAATGCATCCTGAGGCGCGCGTCCGTATCGTCCGTATCAGCAATCCTGTCCGGGTGGGTGGGTCCTGAGCTGACGAAAGACCGGAATGGTCAAAACAATGCCAAGCACGCGCCTCACAGAAGCTCCGCCCCGCGTGCTTGGCACACAGCCAGCGTGTTGCGAAATTGCAAAACTCCACTTTTGGGGAGGCGGCCCTTCTGAACCCACAGTACGCTACAGTAATTCAAATCCTGAGACGAGTACGCTCGCGCTGCGTTTAACGCGGACGAGTCGTTCCCTAATTTCGAAAGTCGCTCAGTTTGCATTAGCGGCGCACAACTGGAATCAACGAACTAGTCTTACTGATGTCGCTGTACTCCCGCATCTGGTATTCTGATGCGCAGTCTAGCGCCCACTGGTCGTTAACTACTTCATTTCTAGATATTCTTGAATTGGTAAGTTGCATGTTATCAGACAGCAGTGGAGCACTGTAACCGATTCGTTATACCTTGTTCTTGTCTTTTTTTATTCGAAAACTGCTTAGATTTGAAAAAGTAAGACTTCCGATTGTTTTAATGACTAAACAAAAGCTTACTCCATTCATTATCTGTGTGTGCAAAGAATCTCTTTTTGCATCCTTTAGGAATGTTGTTTTCTGAACATGCTTGTTTTGGGAAGAATAGTAAACTCGTCATCTTTCATTTCTACTTTTCCATCATTTTGTTCTGAAACATCTATATTTCTTTGATAATCGAAGCTGGGCACGAAACAGAATTTCATTTGCACGAAATTTTGTTGCTGACTGTCGATCGGGTTGCAGTGTTCTTGTTGCTAAAGTACTCGGCTGATGCTCGTAAAGACAGTTTTCGAATTGTCGCTTTGAATATCTTATTGCATGAAGATCTAGGCCTTTATGCAGGTTGTCATGAATTACTGGAGGCATGAACCCTGTTTAAAGAGCTAGACGATCAAGTTTTCTTTTGTGACGTTTCTGACTGTGTTGTTTTCGTGAGGTAAGACTGAAATGCTGCAGGTCTTTTCGTGATCCGGAATTTGTGACTGAGTAAGCACAGACGCAGGTTGTGAAAATTGTCACCTTGTTTGAGTTCTTTAGCTTGCCAGTTGAAGTTGTTAAAAATCACTACATTAAATACGCAAGATCTCCAAGCTTGTGTTCTTGGATTCTATGACTAGACGCCGAATTGTAGAAGAGGAAAGTAAGCAGGACGTGCGCGAAATAAAACAAACCAATTATTTTGTCGGCGCTATTCCAGTATACCGACCCCAAAAATTAAAAATCTCGGATTTCGCTCAAACTCGGTATAGGGGGGTTATTCGATCCGCTGATGCCAAATATCATGTCGATTCCGTACGATAGCGCCATTTTCCGGGGGTTACGGTGGGTATACGGTAGGGGGTCAAAATCACAAAATTCTCTGAAACTCGGTAAGAGGGGGTTATCCGACATGCTGAACACGAATACGATATTCATTCGTTACGGTAGCTCCTCATTCCGGGGTTATGGTGGGTATACGGTAAGGGCAAAATCACGATATCCGTTGAAACTTCGTGTAGGGGGTTATTTGACATGCTGATCACGATTATGATGTTTATTAGTTACGATAGTGCCTCATTCCGACGTTACGTTGGGTATACATCACCAATACCACCGCTAGATCGAGATTCAGGGCTTGAAATCTCAGTCACACGTCGAAAATTTCCTCCCCCTGCTTTGCTTAGGCAAAAGCCGCCGCAGGGTGTATCGAGCGCGGCGGTGGGTGTAGAAAGCAGTGAATTAGACCCTCCTACAGTATACCCACCGTAATCCCGGAATGAGGTCCTACCGTAACGAATGGATGTCATATCCGTGTTCAGCATGTCAAATAACCCCCTGCACCAAGTTTCAGAGAATTTTGTGATTTTGACCCCCTACCGTATACCCACCGTACCCCCGGAAAATGGCGCTATCGCACGGAATCGATATGATATTCGGCATCAGCGGATCGAATAACCCCTCTGTACCAAGTTTGAGCGAAATCCGAGATTTTTAATTTTTGGGGTCGGTATACTGGAATAGTACCATTTTGTCAATGATTGCTCAATTTTCAAGCAACAATGAATGATCAGACTAACGTCAACGCTAGCTGACAAGTTCGGTTACTATTCATGACTCTTGGCATCTCATTGATGTTTACTTGGTTCTAGATGCCCCTGCCCTCTTGTGGCGTATTTCGAAGTGCATAAGTTGTAGGTGCACGCAGTACGCCAGCGACGAAACTCGTCCGAAACTGCGACGCGTCCTGACAGGTCACCGCTCGCTTACGCGGAGCGCCCAATCCCAGCTCGACCTTTGCAGCTAGGTGACCTATCACTGTCGTCGCGATTGGAGCGGGTTCAGAAGGGCCTACACCCCCACTTTTGCCTCCGATAGACTACGGCAAAACCTATGTTTTGCCCTTTCGCAACACAAGCGGAACAAGTAAAGCCCGAGGGCATGGAGGCAGGAGTGTAACGAGGTTTCTATCCGAGACGCATTGATGAAGAGCCTGATAATGAATCTCACAGTGACCTATAACCCCAAATTCTTGAGCCGATGGCGGTTTATCGATTCCACACTCAAAGCGTCGAAAACGAGATATCTGTCTGAAGCACTGCAGATGAACAAAACACTGCAGATGAACAAAATCAGAGGTCCGAACCGAAAGGCTTGATACATATCACTGAGTAAGCATGCAACACATTGAATCCTAATGTTTGCCTAACATTCCAGCAGAACAATCATCTGAAATCCACCATTATGATGGGCGTTACGTCCTCATGAAAACGTGAGGCTGTAAAGGCTATAGTTATCACCATCGGACTGTGGTAATTATTTCCAGCTTGAACATGTTGAGCCGCAGTGCCATGACCCTGACAACGTCTGAAGCACTAAAAATGAAAGCGACTACAACATTGCTTTCGTCTGAGTACGCATTTATTGTGCGTCTACCCTCGCTAAGCTTTGCTTTCTTCGAACAGTGTTTGAATATTCGCCGCCTCCGACCTTAACAGCATATATATGGAACCTCTAGTATCCATTGAATATCCAGCCACATAATGGGATCCGTATTGGAACCCCCACAATATGGTGAACACATGGCAATTTCTGGAGATTTCGTTGATTAGGACTCGGTAAATGACTTCCCGTTGGACCATCAGACAGCAATACATGTGAACGGGATCACATTCTCATATACGAAATTGTCCTTGACAAACTGAAAGAGCGCTGCTAGCTTGTTACCAATAATGTAGTCATAGACTGCTATATGCTTCAGACAAAAAGCAATGAGTAGTTGCAATGGGACTAAGCTCGAACAAACCGCAACCATGTGGTAATAAAATAGATTCAAGCAGTTCCGACCGACAACGACTGTGTGGGACCCAACGAAGAGTTTGCACTGCCTTCACAGAGATTCACCTGCGTATGAGTGCGTACTTCTACCGTTAAGTGAAGCGTAAAGGATGACACATAAATACGACCAGTTGGCCACTTGACCCGAAGACTTCAACGTGGCTCGTAGATGCTGCCCTTAGGAATGCTGACAAGAAAAACGCCTATTCTGTAATTTCTTCTGCTACCTTAAATCGTGAGAGACTGAGGTCATTAGAACCCTTGGCTATAAAGGCTGAGTGCCCCGCGCTCGAGGCTTTGTTCATCTATACTCCACTTCACTTTGACTTACTCGCCGCTGTTGAAAGGAGATATGTGAATATATATATCCTCGTATATGGAATTGGCACTTACGGTTCTAGCCAGAAGTGCGGCGCAATTCTCGGCTACTTCCTAGGTCCTCGCGACCAATTACATTTCGGCGAGAAGCCGCCATGATTACTCTGACCCTGCGTCGCTTCTCTGATCTTGAGCAAGATCGTCCGCTTCAGCAGCTGGGCAGCACTTCTAGAAGAAAGCCTTAACATATGCGTCACTCTTCTCTCATCAAATTGGCCAGTTTCTGCTGCCTTCCGCAGAGTAGAAGTTCAAAAAACCCGAGCGAAGCCCAATAACACCTCACTTTCAAATGGACGTCCTCGACCTCATTCCATTACTCTAGTTGGTTACCGAGACTACCACACGAGCGTGCAGTGAACTATCAACGTGGCAATACCAGGAACTACGTCCACTATCAACTTTTGGTAAGAAA